GGAGTGTGTGTGTGTGTGTGTGTGTGTGTGTGTGTGTGTGTGTATGTGCGCGCGCGCGCGGGAAGTGAAACGCTGCAGGATGTTCCGGGCACCCGCTGAGGACCGAACTCTGCTCCTATCCCGGAGTTGGTGACTCGCCTCGTTGGGTGCTCCAGGCTCTCTGCCCCGTCCAGGGAGACGAGGTTTCCAGACAAGTGGTGGCTGCCGGGTGTTCTGCGGGAGCCACACAGCGCCCAGAACAAACAGGAACACAGATTCCGAGGAAAGAGAGCACAGGTTTGGGAATAGTGACTTATGACCAGCCGCCTTAGGACTGCAAGAATTCATTTACGTTGCTTTCCTTTCTTCCTACTTCTCTGCCTCCCCCTTTAAAATGAACCGCACATTAATTTTCGCCCAGATTCTCTTCATATAAAACTTTAACCTTTTTGGGGTAAGGAATAGCGTTTCCTTGCGCCGACCACAGTTTGCCCTGATGATTTTCTGGAGCATGGACGGGCTTAGTACAGCAGCCCGTTTAGCAGTGTTGTTGCCGGTCTTGCTTTCCTGGTTTCGAACCAGCCCTACAAAAATGAAGGTGGCTTCTCTTGACTAAATTCAGTCTGGTACTGGGTCGTGGAATTTGCAGGATGGACTGGGGGAGGGTTTGGGATGATACAGTTTTTTAAAAGCAGTTTTTCTGTATCAAGAGGGGAGGGGAAGTGGTAGCGATGGGGCAAAGGAGAGTGGAGGAGTTCCTGACTTCTCCGGAGAGATGCTTCTGACCAGCTCCACGCTGAGATGCCCCGTGGAAAAATAATGTGGAGTTCAGTCCAGGCCAGTCCAGCGGTGTGGGGGCCAGACAGCTGGGTTTGGCACGCGCTTGGCCTCAGCTTGGGGACTGCTGCCTAGGCCCAGAGTAGCCTCCTCAGTGCAGGCGGTGCCTGGGGTGAAGGGTGGAGGAGCAGTGCAGAGGGACTGCTCTGGATTTTTCTTTATAGGAATATGGTCCAGCCTGAGCACCTGGGGCCTGGCTGTCCTATATGGATAGGAACACACCCGTGTGGTTTAGGGAGAGATAGTGTCCAGGAGCACAGAGCACAGCCTTAGCATGTTAGGGGAGAAGGGTTTTACTAGAGAGAAGTGGCCCACGGTGCTCAGGAATGGGTAGGATAAGACACACCTGCTGAACACAGGTCCATGTGCCAGGTGAATTATCCCATGACCTCGCTTGGTTTTTGCATCCTCACGAAGAGGAAGCTTCTACTCTCATCCCCATCAGTAAGTGGAACAGAGGTTGAATAACTTGTCCAAGACCACTCTGAGAAAATCTGAACCCAGGCGGCCTTATTCAGAGCCAGTCCAGAGCTGAATCCTGTGGCTATAGACGAAGGGTTTCCTAGGGGCTCAGAAGTGTGTGTAGGTGGGAGTGGACTGGGAACAGTACCAGCAGCGCACCTGAGACATGTTTGGGAGTTGGGAATGAATTAGTATTGTGGAGGACGTTTGGGGAGGACCAGGAGTGACACAAGCTGATGTTCTTGAATAGGAGTGGCTCCCAAGAAACTTGGTATAAGACTAACCTGGCACAGGAATGCAGAATGCATCACCATGGGTGTTGGGGCCACTGCAAGAATTTGAGCATGTCCTAACCACATTAAAATAGCACATTTTGGTAATAATTTTAAAAAGGCAGTTGTTACTGTTTGTAGTCTCACAACATGAAGTCTTGAGTTACTAGCACCATGTGATCTGCCTCATTTATTACCAGTGAAGCTGGTCACTTACCAAGCTCTGGTATTGGCAGAGTCCAAATACCTGGCTGGTTGAATCTCCCTGTGGAGAGTAACAGGTCCTTCATTGGCTAACAGGCCTACAGTGGCCCCAAGGTGCACTGTCGTGGGGCAGTCACACAAGAATAAGCATGTGAAACCTGAAAGGAGAGACAGTGCAACACTGGTCTCGTCTGTCTCTCCTATTTTACAAGTATTTATTGAGCTCTGTAGTGTGTATGGCACTATTCGTGTGTCTGCCTGCTTGGCACTTAGGCACTGAATGGTTGCATGGGTGGATAAGTGAATGAATGGATGGACGGATGGATGGTGGGTGGATGGATGGGTGAATGAAGGAACAGAAGGTGTTGAAGACTCACAGCCATCCTGCCTATCCTTATCAGAAGGTATTGCTTTGCTTTGCCCCTTGTCCCCTCTGATGCCCGCTCTGACTTCCCCAGGGTGTCGGTAGGGCAGGATCTTGGGGGCCAACACCCTTCCTTAGGCCTAAGCCCCACCCCAGCAGCTGGTGCCCAGGGCAGGCCGCCTGACATGACAGTTGAATGAGGAGGGCTGGCTGACTTCCTTGGTGCCAAGCGTTGGCAGAATGCTGTCTTGGCTGGGTGGTGTGGAGGCCTTTTTAAGAGGTGCCGTGGGAGTAGAGGGAGAGTTGTGTGAGGCAGTGGTGGACTGAGATTCTAAGGAGGTTGCTTCTAGGCAGAGTGCGGGGAGGAAGAATGCTGCCTGAGGAGCAGTGCCTGGGCAGTCGGGCCACACTTGGAGTCCTGGTGGCCCCTGGCGTGGAGGAAATGTCATCACTGAAGATAAAGGACCTTTGTCTGCTGTTAGTGAAGACTTCAGAAAATGTCCCCAATCGTGGTTTTGGAAGTAAAACCAGTCATGAATTTGAGAAATCATTGCAGCCAACGGGGTTCGGTTGCGAAACTACACAGTTATACTAGAGAACTACTCTGTTGGTCTGGGGAGTACAGAGAAAGAAAAGGCATTGCTGATAATAATGAGGGCTAACATATAGTTCATGTTTGTTCTGTGTCTGGCGTATAGTTGTCAACTCTTTTGATCCTTCTAAAAATGCTTATGCAGTCATCTGGGTCACAGTGGCAAGACAGTCACAGAGCAGTGTTTTTTTCAGGGCTTGAACTCACACTTCTGATTCCAGAGCACACTTCATAAACCACCTCTCCGTGCTGTTGACAGAGCAACAGAGATTATAAGCCAACTCCAGCTAAGCCACAGCTAATAGCTGAAACAAACAATGCTCCAGATGGACGTGGCCTTGCAAAGATCCCAGAGCTCATCAGCAGGCCCAAGAGTCTGAGGACAAGGTCATCTCCACTCGCCGTCCACACAGCGCTGCCAAGGAAAAGTGAAAGAGAAGGAGGTGTCCTGATGACGTTTCCAAACCAGAGTCCCAGAGCCCACACTGCTCTCGAGGAAGGCAAGGCCCTTCCACAACCCTGGATGTTCTGAAAGTCCAGGCAGAACTGTGCTGTCCTGCAGATCTCTGCTAAAACAGGGACAAGGAGCCAGGAAAGTTCTGAGAGGCACTCCTCAGGTAGCGGAAGCCCAGTCTGAGAAATCCCACCCCACTTCAAAGAGCAGCCCCTAAGCCTAGAGGTCTCTAAGGTCCAGACCGAGGTGGGGAAGAAGGGAGGACACCCAGGGCTCCTCCCTGGGGCTTTTCAGGTCCTGGTGTCGCTATAGAGCCTCTGAAGGTGGAGTCCGCAGAACAGACAGTTTTACTTCTTGGAGGCATAGACTTTTTTCCCCCCTCCTTATTGTTTATTAGTACATGTTTGTAGTACATAATGATAACATTCCTCATAGTCGAACTGTTTGTATTTTATTTCATTGGTTTTTTTTTTTTTTTATGGGAGCCCTGAGCAGGACTTCAGTTCTTTAAGTCCCAGACAGTGTGGAGAGACTGAGAGGAGCAAAACAAAGCTCCTGCTCCCAGGGAACCTGGATGTAACACTGCTGGGTGTGTGGGGAGGGCGATACAATCTTTCATCACCTATAGCTGCATTTTCCTTTCTCAAGCACAGCATTTGCTGAAGGGTTTGCACAATTGGCCATTCAAATACATCTTTTGTCACTTAAAAATGTGTGTCTTACGGGCATCTGGCTCCTCTTAAGGCAAAGTTGGTGAAAAGATTTTTGTCTACAGATTTCAGTCACTTGCAGCATGAAAACATGAAGGTCTTTTGAGGTATTTCACTTTGGTTAAATTTGGTTTTATGTTGTTCTCTATTGCTCCTCTGGTTTTATTAAGGAGTTAAAATATGAAGGCTTCATA